TCTGGGTGCTGGGACCAGCTCAGCTTCTGTGCCCTAGAAGCTTGGAATGGTGGCAGGGGAGCTTCCTTCTGGGTGCTGGGACCAGCTCAGCTTCTCTGCCCTAGGAGCTTGGAATGGTGGCAGGGGAGCTTCCTTCTGGGTGCTGGGACCAGCTCAGCTTCTCTGCCCTAGGAGCTTGGGATGGCGGCAGGGGAGCTACCTTCTAGGTGCTGGGACCAGCTCCTTGCCTATGTTCTTCATGTTAAATCATTTATGACATTTGTCACGTTAAGAAAAGAGGAAGGCAACATCTGCCTCACAAGCACAAGGACCCAAGTTCGATCCCTGGTACCAAAAAAACAAAACAAAAAAAAAAGAAAAGAGGAAGACACCTCCCTTTCACCAACTTCACTGTATACCTGCAGTGATATATGCTCGTACCAATTTTACAAGATTAGTGTCATTGGGCCGAGGATTTAGCTCAGTGGTTTTGCCGCCTGCTGTGCAAGCGCAAGGACCTGAGTTCAATCCCCGGTACCCCCCCAAAAAAAGATTAGTGTCATTAACCATTTTCAGAAACTGATATTTTAAAAAATGTATAATTTCCCCTGGTGACAGCAGGTACCCAAGTTGCAAATCTAAATTCAAATTCTGGCCCTCACTTACCCCTGTAACATTTAAGCATGTGGGTCCCCTATACTGCATGCACCATTTGCCATACTGAGCTGAACAAGGAAACAAACACCTGTACTATGAACATTCTGACACAAAAAGTAGGTGAGATATTTCAACTCTTGTTTCCCTAAACACCAGTATGGTAATTAACATATGGGAGGTACTCATCCAATATTCAGCATGTATGAATGACAGAGACCTAATGCTAGGATTGGGTTTTCTTTACTGTGACTGAGAACTTTTTTGACCTGGTCTTTGCTAATTATTTCCTGGTACTCAGACACTGTTCTAAAGGGGCTAATCCCTCTTGAATGTCCCCAGGTGAACAATCTTAGTGCCATGGCTTGCCTATCTGTAGTCTCTTACATCAGTTTCCACCCCCAGAAAGTCAGGTCATCTGCCACTGAGGAAGTGAAACCTTGATTTGAGCTCTGATTCCAGGTCATGTATTAAATTATCAAATGATGATAATTCCAGAATGAAAATCTATTGCCTTGGAAATGGTAATATGCCTGTTCGTATAGGAAACCCCCAGCAGTCATAATGGTGATGTTGTATTACTAGTGGAACCATTTAAGTTTCTCCAGTACCAGTTACAATTCTATGCTTATGCTATGTTTACAGTTTATCATACTCCAATTCCCAACCTTCCTGTCTCATTTTTCTTGGCACAACACCATCATTCCCTAGGAAGTCAAAGGAGCTTTTGGCTTACATTCTTCCTTTGGTTAAACTCAGTCAGTGGAAGATTGCACTTTCCAAATATCCACATTTCTGTTTGATCTGTTTGGCATCTGGAGGTGTCCACATTGTTACTCCTAAATATAGTGAAGACAGAGATATGTAGAAAATATGGAGACTTCATTTATATTCTATCCCCATGATGATGTACTAGAATTCTTATCAGTCTCCTAAAAGCCAGCCCTACCATCTGCTTGGCAAGATAGGGAATGAATTAACAATCCAGCTGACTTCATTTGACTTTCTATCACTGCTTGCTTCATCCAAGAAGGAAAAAAATGCACACACTCTGTAGATCTCCTTACTCCCAGATCTCATTCTTTTTAAAAAAATCTTTCCTTTCCCCTTACTAGATAATTGTTATGGTCTCTCAGAGATGAAAATATTTGGCTCTTCATTGAGAAAGATCTTTGAATATAAATGTCTCACTGAATATTAAAATATGTCTTCAGTTCTATGGAGAGAATGTTACAAAAATGTTGGAATCCATTGTTGTCAGGGGAGTGAAACCATCCAGTATGCATTTATGGTACCTGATTCATGCCCTGGAGATATGACAGAGGTCCTTTCTCTGAGCAGAGCTCTTACAGTGATACTTAAAAATTAATTGAATTTTCAAGAATGTCAGTTTTAGGTACTGTAGTTGATGGTGCAGTAGCTGTGAGGTTTATTAAAAATACACTGTCACCTACAGAACTCTGTGATTCTTCTGACAGGGCTCTTGCCATGAATGTTAATTGGGCAGGGTTCATTTGGGGGCTGATTAGTTATTGTTTTGTTAAGATCTCCTGATTTGCATGGTGTATTTTTTTACTTATGCATGTATATTTCTGTTTTTCTCTAGGAAAAGAAGAATATATTGCCACTTTCAAGGGATCTGAATACTTCTGCTACGACTTGTCTCAAAACCCCATTCAAAGCAGCAGCGATGAAATAACTCTGTCCTTTAAAACCCTTCAGAGGAATGGACTGATGCTTCACACTGGAAAATCAGCTGATTATGTCAATCTTGCCCTGAAAAATGGAGCTGTCTCTCTGGTCATTAATTTGGGATCAGGGGCCTTTGAAGCACTAGTGGAGCCCGTGAATGGAAAGTTTAATGATAATGCCTGGCATGATGTGAAAGTCACCAGGAATCTGCGTCAGGTAACAGCGCAGTGGATAAGAGAGTAGCTGGTTTTGTTTCTCGCGGCAGTTGTGTGTGTGGTTCTTGAAACTCTGACAGTGAGATACAGGGCTCCTCAGAGTCACGTGCAAATTAAGCTTTTTCTTCTGAGAGAATCTTCCTGCCATACTTGAGCAGGGGCATATCTAGAAAGTTCTGGGGGCCCAAAGGCTATTTGTTGCAGCGACATATGACAATATCCCAGAGGGCTGCAAGGATATCCCTGCGACCTGCCCTTCCTGTGATGTGTGTGATTTTGTTGTGTTTTTTATTTTTGTTGTTTGTTTGATTTTAAATTACAGTTTTCATAGTGATCATTTGAAAGCATGCACATTGGGGTCATTAAATCACAGTTCCTTTTTTGTAGTCAAAAAACAGTGTGTTTGCAGTTCGGGATTGGATCAATCCCTATTTTCTCCTCACCCCCACCCCCAAAATGGGAACAGGAAGAGTCCCTGAGGGGAAAAAATGACTCTGGGGGTTTACTTATCTTCTAAAGACTCTGTATATGAGGATATTTTTATTTTTAGCACTGTAAGTTCAACTCCAAATGACTCTGTAGAGGCCAGTTCATCTGCTAGGTGCCCATTTCTATTTGACTATGTATTTTTTTTAATTAGCGAAAGGCTATATAGTAAGAAAATATAAATTTATTACCAAATTCTGGGTCTGCATATACTGTATGTTTTTAACAGAGACATATTATTACAGTATATATATATACAGATGAAAGTGAATAAATTGTCCTTATCTATTGATAATTATAAGTTCAGTTATGATTTGAAATTTTATGATATTACAATGTATCTTTTTGTGAAGTGTTGACAGTGACTAATATTTTTTGCTGTACATGCTGATCTCAAACTAATATCCCTAACATATTTGTTGTTTCTCTGAACAGTTGCAGAATGACCGGATTGTCTCTGGTTTTCGTTTACTAAAACAGCCCTCTCTTTCTGAGCTGTTAACTGTCTAACCTTTTCTTTCTTGCTTCTGAAAGGCTTAAGCTATCTGAGATAGAGAAGCAAAAAGGAGCTTTGAGAGTGGAGATTTAGTCTAGTTAAGGCAGACAAGTGGAATGGAAAGACTGTTGAGAGCCCCAGAGGCCTTTGAGATGCACTGTTGACATAGGAGGGCCCTGCATGCTTCACGCCTGCCTGGGAGCTGGCTGCCCGCCATCAGTGTAGCTGTAGACACCGGTTTCCTGTAAGTCTGTCTCTTTGGTTTTCCTTTTTCATTTTTTCTCTCAGATACTCACCAAGAGACCGGAGGCTCATTTGAGAGAAGCACAGAGGAAGGGTGGGTCTTGAGGAACCTACTTTCTAGATTTGCCTTTGCTCAGGTTATAAACCAGACTGTGAATTGGTAGAGCCAAGGAAACAGTGGTTATACAGCCGGGTGCATGTGTGTGGCAGGACAGATTAAAAACAAATCCATTCTGCGCATTATGTGTGTCAGGATCTTTGCTTTGTTTCATTGCAGTAAACTGTGACCCTAAAGTCCATCAATATGACCGAAGAAAGTTTTGGAGTTGAGGAGGAGTCCTTGTATGCTGTAAAATTGAGTACTAGGGCAATGCCAACTAATTCATACTGATTTGCTGGGCTGGGGTGGGCTAGGGTGGGGGAGGGAGCAATTATGGGCTTAGGGTAGCAGAGGTCAGCATATGAGCTTTAGGGCTTTGAATCCCTTCCAGACTTTTACAGCAGCTCTCAGATGTACTCAGGAAGACAAAGGGAACATTGCCATGTGTCTGTTTCTATGCAGTAGCAAGAGATGAACAATAATGGCAGGAAGAAAATATTACCTCTGTGGGAGGCCTATTTGTTAGTCTGCTTTTTTCTTGTAAAATTTTTTTGCCCTTTTTCTATGTTACTAACATGCTTAATAACTAACATGTCATTCATGGAATGTTTCATTCTACTAACCGTTACCTGAATCAAAAAATGTACTAACATGGTAGAGACCATCATATTTTTTAAGTAACGATCGTTATTCTGTTCACAGTTTTTAATTTCCTTTCTCCCCCCTTCTCCACAAAGCACTCAGGCATTGGACACGCTATGGTAAACAAACTACATTGTTCGGTAGATATCATTCTAATTGTTTCTTATTTTGGGTTTGCCGTGTGTTTTCTTTCTTTCTTTTAACTGTAGACATCATTAACAAAAGAGGAACTGCGGTTGGTACTCTTCTGCTTACTTTGACCTCCTTCTTTTCATCTGTTGTTGACTTTCTTATTTTTTACCTGTTCCTGTCAACTTCTGTTTTCCAACTCACCTGTAGGGGCATCGTTAACGTTTCGAACGTTTTGCATCCAGCTGTGGTTAACACAGGAAAAGACAAATGGTGGCTGGCCGGAGTGACCGCAGGCTCAGCCAGTCTCTAACCATTCACAGTGCATGGCATGGAACTTGATTTGGGAATGCTGGAGATGCCACACCCACTCATCTTTCCGTCATCACAAAGCAGTTACTTTTTTTTTCCTTTGGTTCTCCCTGTTTTCTTTCCTTTCTTTTCTGGACTGTACTATCCCCTGCATGTGCACATTGCGTGTTCCGCTTCTACTGGTTGTTTTGCCTTCCCCTCCTTTGGCATGGAGTTAGGCACTTGCATGTTGAACAATTGCTGCTCAATAGTGCGAATAGTGGCGTTGCTGGAAATAGTTTGCGCCTTTTATGTTAACAAGGTGCACGTTGTGATTAGTTAATAACAGACAACTAAACTTTACTAATATGTACACCAGCAAAACTAACCTAGGAAGCATTTTACTAACACCATTTTTGTGTCTGCTAAATAACTTTTAAGTTGCAGTAGGGATGATGCTGACACTAGCTCAATAATCAGCTTTCTAACTAGTTTAGATCTCTTAGGGGTAGTTGGATAGAATCCAAGCATAAACCTCAAACAGACATGAAAATGGGTTCCGTCATAGGTCTAAAACTAAAAACCAAACAAACAGAAAAAAAAAAAGCAAAAAAGCAAAACAAAACAAAACAAAAAAAATAAAACAAAACAAAACACAAAACAGGCATATCCCAGGATTACAGTATCTAGGTCTGAGTATAGCGTGTCCTTTCCCTGTGCTTTGTTATCTAGGTGACAATATCAGTGGATGGGATTCTTACCACAACGGGCTACACACAAGAAGATTATACCATGCTGGGGTCTGATGACTTTTTCTATGTTGGAGGCAGTCCCAGCACAGCCGACCTTCCAGGGTCCCCAGTCAGTAACAACTTCATGGGCTGTCTCAAAGAGGTAAATATCGCTGTCACCTGAATCATTCCTAATTCATGGTCTCATTTCAGAATCAGACAGAAAGCACCTTTGCTGAAGATCTGATGCACCCAGAGTCAAATGGCACAACCTTACATTTGTTCTTTTACTATTGTTTATATAGGGTTGGGGGGAGAGGTCTAATTCATAGAACATTAGGAAGGAATTAAGTTCCTCTTCTTTACTAGTCTGATATTTGCATGGGCATTTGTGTACTAGCTGTAAAGGAAAGTCAAACAAAAGGAGATGTTGCATCTAAAGCTACACTAAATGACTTAACTGCTCATTTCTAACTAAATGCCTTAGGTGTCATGTATATAGTGGTTATTTTTCTTTTGAAAGGTAGGGAAAGAGGAAGAAAATATTAGTCTACAAGAGAAAGACTACAAAAAATGAAACTGTAGAATGAAATAATTTTGTTCCTGTATTTTAAACATGATCTGAAGGGGGGAGTAGAAGTGTGTCATTTGTGATCTGGTAAGTTTATGTGAGATTTATCCAAGAAAAATAAGAGGATTGATGATAATAATTTCATCTCTCATTGTCGGCCATTGTTGTCTGGTATAATTTTTTTTTTTTTTTGCTACAGGGGATCGAACTCAGATCCTTGCGCTTGCGCAGCAGGCAGCGAAATCACTGAGCTAAATCCCCGGCCCCGGTATAATTTTTTATAGGGTTGGAATTTGTTGGGATGGTGAAGAGAAAGATCATTCAACTTTTATGAGTATTTTTCATAAAAGGAACCTTTTTTTCTATTTAGACATGTCCTGATTTCTATTGTATGGCTGGAATTTAATCATATAGGCATCAAAAATGTAAAGTTGAAAAAAATTGAACTTACTAATTATTTGGCTCTAGGTGCTCTTGATAAGCAATGACATAATTTGGTTTGTTCTAAAGAAATAATCATATAATCTTGATTCATGTACATATTAGTGCAAAACAGTCACTGCTGGATGTGCCATTGCTCACTATATGGGAATATACAGAACTATTCTAAGGGGATTTAAAAATGCTATAGTGTGGGCTGGGAGTTTAGCTCAGTGGCGCCACACCTGCCTCACAAGCGCAAGGTCCTGAGTTCAATCCCAGGTACCACACACACAAAAGCTATCCTAGTAACAAATACAATGAGATGCAGTTCTAAAAGACTGAATCTGCCCATAATTTGGAGTGAAGGTGATTGACTCTCAGACAATAACTTTTACTTTTAAGAGTTGTGTGATATAACCTAGGCCTATATTAATCTCTATAGGTGAAAACACTCTAAGAAAAATAGTTATCATTTTGATAAAAACAGTACTAATGCTTTTAGAGTTTTTGCTTTGTGCTTACTGCTGTCTTAAAGAATTTTTCAGTCCTCCTCAAAATATAGGTAGTAATTTTATTATCTGGATTTTTTTCAAAGACATTGAGGTTCAGAGCAGGTAAGTTCCTTCAGGATGGTACTACAGCTGCCAAGTGATAAAAATTCAATCACGGAAGTATGATTTCGGGGTTGTTATTGTTCTTAACTACTATGATACAAGATATACCAACAGAAATGTTTGTTAGGGTCATTACAACTGCAGAAGATTGTACAAACTGCCTAATTCATTAGAAATGAAACAAGTTTTAGAAACATATAATAGACTGTGAGGAGTGAGGTAATAAGTTGCATGTCAGTTATACTCATTTGAGTTAAAAAGAGGGTGAAGTGAAAGAGAGTTCCAGTAGAAAAGGAAGACACATAAGAGATTCAGAATGTGAGTCATGAGGAATGACAATGATTTGGAAAGTTAGGGGATGGAGAAGATACTACAGGTTAGGAAGAAACAGGGTAAAAATATAATTAGATTTCATAAGATGATTCCTAAAACCCTTTCCTGGTGATGAAATATTAGAGAGAACTACACGCAAGCCATCCACACTGTGTTCCTCATTTACATTGTGAGCCAGGCTGACCTTCTATCCATCCTATACTCTGCTTTATCTATAAAATGTTATGCCTGCTGTGGATTAGTGAAAAGAATGTGAATCCAAGGATCTCTAGCTCAAGTGAAGATTTAGCTAATGAACTTTTTATGTATCCTGTAAAATAATGAGGATTTTTGTGATCTCTGACACACGGTTTTCTGCCAGATCTGGGTGGGGAAGGCAGATTTTTGTATGTATGAAGCTAAAGTTAATTGCCCTAGTCTGAAATGACAGCTACAAATTAAGTCATTCTTCAGTTTAACATTTTTAGTGTTTTCATGTTTATGATTTGATATAAGTTAGTATTTATATTTTTATATTAAAATTTCAATCACAAAAACTACAATAGGGCCGGGGATTTAGCTCAGTGGTTCTGCCACCTGCTTTGTGAGCGCAAGGTCCTGAATTCGATCCCTGGTACCAAAAATAAAAAACCAAACAAACAAAAACTACAATAGCAAGAACATGAGTCCAGTGGTCATCTCAGTGAGTTTTAGTTGGTAGCTGTTGGCTCACGCTGGTCTGTGTAGGTTTCCAATACCTACCATTCTTCTTTTCAAGCAGATGCTTCCTACTTCTGCTTCTACCACAGCCTGGGCTATATGTCTGGAGCAAATACTATCAGGTTTTTCTTTTTCTTTTTTTGGGGGGGGGAGGGGCTACCAGGGATAGAACTTGGGTCCTTGAGCTTGCGCAGCAGGTGCCGAAACCACTGAGCTAAATCCCTGGCCCTGACCAGGTTTTTCTTGATCTGTGCAGTAGCTTCTACTCAGTTTCTTTCTGACAGAGTAAAGAGCAGGATGCAGGCACAATCAGCCCACAATTTCAAATCCACCCCAGTTGGATGACTTTTTAGTAACTCTATTTTCATCCATGTTTAAACTGCTATTTGGAATGCCTTACTCTGCTTGATTCTAAAATGAAATAGTGACAAAGTATCACAGGTTTTGAGTTAAATCACCTTATTTCAGATAAGTCAGCTTTGTAGAGTTACTAAAAAGCAAAAATTCACCAGTGTTCATTCTCATAGAAACTCCCTTAATTGTAAGCCTTTACCTGTGAGTTTTTCTTTGACCTAGATTAGACTGCTTAGCTTGCTCATTGTTTGCATCATCCCTTAATTAGAGGTCCCTTTATAGGCCCATAATATTTTTATTTTCAATCTAGCATGCAGTGCCCCTTAGAACAACCAGTCCTATTCTAAAAGTCAAGTCACAGAAGAAATTTTAGAACATTGGTATAGGAAGAGTCTTGGAAATCATTCTCCAAGTCCAATCTCCTTATGTTAAAAATGGAGAAACAAACCTAGAAGAATTACTTAACCAAGAAAAATGAAGGGTAAAGCAGAATTAGAAAATGGAATCCCGTCGGATGAAATGCAGTATATGAGTAGCTGAGTCTCGTTGTAAACAGTGGCACTCAAAATATAAAAATGGAGATGGCCTACCACTTTTATTAATTCACATCTTCATTCTTTAAAGATTAAAATGAGAAAGGAAATAGCTCAAAATATTGAAACAACCTGTAACTTCTTTTTATTGGAAGTAATTTAGATCTTTCATTTCATGGATTTTGATGTGAAATGATGCTTGGTTCTCACTCATAGCCACAAATCCTCAAAAAGGAAGTTACTTTTTAAATGTCATTATCAATTTTTTAAAAAATAAAATTAGTTTAAAAAAACCCGATTTGGTAAAACCTAACCTGAACATGGTGTAATAGTCCGTTTAAAATGAAAAGAAACCTTGAATGAGCAGAAACTTCAAAGAGAGGAATATTTTTCAAAAAATACTTGTATTTTTATACAAATAAATCAGAATCCTTGGAGAAATGTTTGATCTCACTGAAAATAATTTTCACAGACATAAAGTTGAGGCAAGTTAAAGGAAATATTGTAAATAACGAGTTGCCATTATACTCAGGCCACATCTGTGAAATCCCTAGAGGATAATAGGTCTTTAAAAATATGCTTTGAAATGTGATGTTTATGAAAGCAGCATTGAGCTTGCTTTGGCAGAAAGACTTTTTTTATATTTTTTCCATTTTTATAACGTTGAATAAATGGTGAAGCATATTGCTTAAGCATTTTTTTATTATTTTAATTTGAATTGAATTTTCTAACAAGGAGTTGTCGGAGTAACTGTTTCAATAGTAGAGGAAGTTACAGAACCTGCAAAAGGAGCAATTGGGGTGTCTGGTCAGGAGCTTGGTCTCCATTTGAAGCCACCTATAGCCAGGCCTGTTCACCTTAGACCACCTGAAAATCACTTTCCCGTGTCAGAGTTTCACAGTTACTTATTGAAGTACATGCTAGAGGTATTTTCGTGTCTGCAAAGGAGATGAAAATCTTACTTCTGTGTGTTTTTATTCCACTGTCTTGACCATGAGAGCTTCTCTGGTAACATTAGCATGCTTGATGTTTCTTGTTCATCTTCTCTCAGAATCTAAAATCTTAAGCATTTCTTAGTCTATTTATGCTTCAAATGCTTTGAAACATCCATTTCCCTCCTATAGCCTGAATATTATTTAACATAATTTGCTAGTGAGAAAATGAAACTGAAGAGGTAGGAAGGGAGTGTGTAGTCAGTGAAACACCTTAGAATCCTTTATTTAAGGTTTGTCCTTTGCTGGAAATTTCATAATCAGTTGAGTGGAGACACTGAGTCTGAGGTGATTTAAAATGCAGCTACTAAAAATTGCTCAGAATGAACATAAGGAAGGATTCTAAAAGGGAAAAAGATGAGTGAAATGCTAGAGGGAATTAAATCTCTACTGAAAATTTTATCAACCTAATTAGGTCAGCTCAAACTTTAATTACACTTTAGAGACCTTATTGCAAAAAATCTGTAAGATATTATGAAGTGAGAGGTTCAGAAGATACCTTCCCCCTATGTGAGGGGGAAGAAATGATTGATTCCAGATATAATCAGGAAGGTTCTCTACTGCCACATGTAGTGGCCATACTGTAATTCTCACAATGCTTCTGTGTCAAAACTCAGAAGATGAAGTATTTCCTTCATGCAAATGACTGTAATTTTTAACTTCTCCTCTCTAAACAACAGAGAACTTCAAAGAGTTACTAAGGATCTTCAATTCCCCTTTGTGGTAAACTCTGCTGTCCAAACATGGCTCCTCAGTTATCCTTCTATGCTTATTTCTCTCTTTGTTCAGAGAGGAAAAGAGTACCTTTCATTTACATATGAGAACAAAAAACCCATGACTGGATTTGTATTTCAGATTATCTTCCAGTGTTGAAAGAAGGGACTTGGAGAATACGAAGAACTTCAGTGATATCCATACATCTAAGAGCAGGGAGAAGGAAGGGCTTTATGAGTATTCGAGCACCTCCCCTGTGGGCCTCAAAGTCATTATTAAACAATGTCTAATCAGGTCTTCACTTCCTATAGGTTTCTTGTTGAGGTTTATGCCTTAGCTGCATTTCTTCTTGTATTCAATTGTCATGGCCTATATAATTTTTTTAAAAAACATTTACAATTTATTTATTTTGACCTTCCCATATGCTTCATTTACTCTTCCAGAAAGAGAGCTGCCTTTTGCTCCCAATCCATTTTTTCCTAAATATTCCCCATAGAGAGCCACACATTTTTACTTACCATATTATTATGTAACTAATAATAATGGCTTGATTTTATGTGGTAATACTGTCTCCCATTGAATCACTTTAATGAAACATTTTAAGATAGCCTTGGGTAAGACTTACAAGATTCATAGTCTATGAGAAAATGTAAAGGAACTCCCCATAACACAGGACCAATGCATTGGCCTCGAGGATGCACAATGGTTACTTAATTTTTGATCAACTGACTGACATTAAGGCTTTAAGATACCTTCTATATTAAAAATTTTCATGCTGGATTACATATTCATTATATGTCATTTTGTTGTTCAAGCTGGAATGAGCTAATTTACAGAATAGCCATCTTCTAATAACCGTAGTATAAATTTAGACTCAGTCCCTTGGTTACTCTGTTCTTTGCTGGGGATGAATAACAGTTCTTTGCTACTCTAGACTGCTGTCCTGGAGCCAGGGAGTTTTTTACTGACTCGGATTCTGGTTTAGACAGCTAGAGAGGAACAAAAGACTTAACACTGTTTTTCACAGAAGTTCAGGTCTACAAAGAATATATATTTTCTCTACCTGATTTAAAACACAGAAGATGGCTTTTTTAAAAAAGCTTCTAAACTTTAGCATGATGTTTGTGGGAATGTCAAAGAATTGGACAGATTTTAATGTGCCATTAACTGGATTTATCATAGACCAAGACAAGTTTCTTCCTAGATATTAAAGACACTGAAATGTATCTTAACCCTTCTGATATAACAAAGCGTCAACACTGACCTGTGAACAGAGACCAGCTATCCTTGGCGCCTTTCACTTACAGGATAGCAAACCGTGGAAATCCCCCTTTCCTGTGAGGCAGTAATAGTAATTACATTATGCAAACAAGAACAGAACACATGGTTAATGAGTGATAGAGTTCGACCTTCACCTTGGCTTTGTATCCTTAAGTTGGCTACTGCTAGTAAAGCACATTGCCTGAATCAGATCCTCCAAACAAATCCCACTGGGATACTTTCTATAGAGCCTAATTGTGCCTATGATTGCAGTGGGTACTATACAAAAGGATATTAAAAAGTTGGAGCTTTCCCTGGAGGAATAATGGAGTTACATATTCAATGATAATAGTAATAATAATAATGTTAAGCATTTAAAAAATTTTTCTCATATAATGTTTTAACATCCAGTGAGTTCCCTAAGAGACATGTGCATAGAGACATGAGAAAGATGTAAAATAATAATTTATGTTTGAAATATAAATTAATGAAATGGTGATATTCCATAGTTTAGACACATCAGTCCTGAGAGAAAACAATTTTTAGTAGGTTCTGGTATTTTATCTTCAGTACTGTTTTATTATTAAATTACATAGAGGGATACACCATCACTTTTCAATATTTCTCATGTTCCAAGTGATACTATGAGCATGACAATATTTACACACTAATGCTATCCCTAGGTAACAAATGGGGCAATGGAGACAGGAGGAATTTAGAGAATTGACCTAGGGAAAACAATTACTAAGTAGGAAAGCTAGCATTCAACCTAAGCAATCCATCCCCAGAATCCTTCTCCTTAACTGCTGTTATATTTCTTTTTCCTTATTTTCAGTATTTTTATAAAGAAAAATTTAGAGGAAGTAAGCTTCTTTAGAAATCATTGAGAGAAACAAAAATACAGCTGAGATTACTGGGCTGTTGCAGAAGGGGAGCGATATGTAAAAATGAGAGGTAGAAGCAGGAAGTGTTTTTTAAATGACAATTAATGCAGGAGTTTTCAGTGGTGTCACCCTCCCCAATGCCTCACAGTACTAATAGGCACTGGGGTGTTACCTCTCTGAGATTGGTCCCTACTTTGGCAGCCACACACCCTTCCTCCTATAATGGTATAAACAAGATAATAATGCTTGCTATATGTCTCAGTTACTTTTCTTGTTGCTGAGACAAAATACTGAACATGCAAATTTAAAGGAGGAAAGATTTATTTAGCTCACAGTTTGTAGAAATTTTAGTCCATAATCGCTTGGCTCCCAATCAGGGTGGCATGGCAGACAGGCATTCCAGAGGAGAAACAATTCATGGCAGGCAGAAGGTAGCAAAACAAGGAAGGGAGCATAGCAGTTTTTTTCTACCACTTTTGTACTCTAGACTACCAGGATTAGGGAAGTGCCAAACCAATCAGTGGACAGATTTAGTAATCACACACTTAATCCCACCATCACACACTCTAGATTCTGCCACTTCTGGAAAAGGCTTTGGGGGGACATCTAGACACAAGCCATAACATTCCACCCCTGGTCCCCCAAAGACTCATGTACATTCCTTTACACAAAAGGGATTTAGTCCACCTCTAAACAGTTTTCAAAATCCTCACAGTTTTCACATAAAATTGTTGCTGAAAAGTTCGAGTCCTATGTCTCCTCTGAGATTCAAGGCAAACTCTTGGCTATGAGGCCCTGTACAAATGAAAAGAAAGTTAACAATTCCAAAATATAATGGCACAAGTAAAACATTACCATTCCAAAAGGTACAAATAGGGAGATACAATGGAATGGTCATCTAGGGATGATATAAAGTAAATAAATGTAACTCCCAACCTGCTAGATGTCTCCTGCACCAAGTTTGTGTTCTCTAAAGTCAAAGAATGAATTCTAGGAACAATGGAGATTAAGAGCAGAAAATACTTATTGAGAAACAGACACCTGCTGCCAGAGAAGGATGGGGGGGACCTGGAAAGTGGGTTGTCCAGGAGCCCATTTCTCAAAGACGTTTTATAGAGCAAAATCATGAGGTGGGTATAAAATCACAAGGTGAACATAAGGTGAGACAAAACTATAGTCACCCAATAAAATCACAAGTATAGTTGCTTGAGTAATATTGATCCAATAGGGAAGCAAGTCACATAGCAAGTGTGCAAGCAAAGAGCAGGGACCTTTCCTGAAAAGGATGGGTCAGGAGGGCTTGGTCACCCAAGGTGACTGATGCCTATTTAAAATATCAATCATTATTCTTCATCCCTTGAGGAAATATGGAGGTATAGTCATTTCATTTTAAAGCCTGGTCTTCAACAAATGTGTTTCCACCCACAGTTGTAATGTATTCTCATCTTCTGGACTGACTTCTTTGAGGGGATAGCCCTGCTTGACTGCCTATAATATTTCTAACTAACTTAGCTTTCTATAATATTCCCCACTCTGAAGAGCCACCCCTAACTGCCATGATGAGGGAATGGGCAAATAACATTCTGTCTACTCCTGGCTTAATGGGGTCATTGTTGTGATTGACAGTCAGAGATACTCTAAGGAAGGTCCATTTAAAGGCCCTCAATCAACACTAGGCATTCTTGTCCTCGGTAGGCATATAGCTTTACGTCTGGAGGAGACAAGGCCAAAGAAACAGTTAAGTATGGATGGGCCAAATATGAAGGTCAACAAGATTATTATGAATATAACCAACAAAAGTTTCCAACTGTAAGAGCCAGGATAAGGAGATAGGATAAGGAGAAGGAGAAGCTCCAGGGAATTTCAGATTGCAACTTGGGATTGACCTGTCATTTAACATCTTGAACAGCCATAGGGATATTAGCAGAAGGATCAGAAATGTACACACAATGTTCAGCTTTAATAATTGTACAAGTACCCCTCATATTGCTGTTAGAATGCCTTCTGACGTTGGAGGATGGCTTGCCTCATTAATTTTCATTCTTCATTCACAAGAGAAAGACCAGTTGTAGCATCATTTAAGGCCCATTGAGTATAGTTATTCAAGCCCTTGATGTGTTGTATGACATCCCGTAATCCTAGGGAAGGGATAAAAATAGAAGCCAAATGATCATACCAATGAAACTGGTAGACCATCCATATCATAGATGGGGTAAGTTTGCAGGTTTGTGGATACTTTTGACATTCCTGCCTTGTAACCATGCAAATCCCAGTGTGCAGCTCCCTCTCCATCCAGGAGGTATCCAGGGCCACAAATGGGTTCCACAGGCCCAATGAGTGCCATTTGGGGCTTCTCATTTAATTTTAGGGCAATTAAGCCCATCTGTTGTCAACCAGTTTTCAACCTGTAAAGTTATGGTGTGTATATGCTGTCCAGGGGGTGACAATTTCAAGTATTTATTAGAGTTAGGCCAATGAGAATAGGAGTCATTTCTCTGTTTCCAGCATAAAAGGGCCTTTCTACTAAGGTGTCTTATAGTGGGGGTTAACCATATATAATTATCCCATATCTGAAAATAGCCATCATGATATCTATGGATATTGGCCCCCATTATAGGACCCTTACTCTTACTTAATAAGTGTTTTACTAGATTCTGTAGAGAGGCTTCAGTGGCATTGTTAGAAAAAGTTCAATTATGTCCAGGATCATTAAGGATGTAGTTTAAAGGCCACTCAGTTACCTGGTAATGGTGGCTAAACTATGAAGCAATGAACTCTTTTGTGTCTCATCAATAGTCTTATAGCTTATTCCAATCATCTACTTGAAGTGAGGCTACCCACCAAGGAAGTCCTGATATACTTGACAAGGGGAGCAGCCCACGTATCCAGCAAGACATATCTTGTAATGACTCTGCATATTCCTGTGCCCACATTAGAAAGGAATTGCACTCTCCTTTAAGTGGTGAAGTGATTAGTAAAAGGGTTAAGAGTAACTTTTTAGATTACTTATCTGAAGGCTTTGGTTTCTTTTTGAACAAGAATTTTAAGTTCTAAGGGTAACAGGAGTATTCAGATGGTGGCTCACACTCAGAAACAGTTTTTGGTTCCCAGGGCTTGAGTCAGGTGTGGCACATCCAGGAGTCAGCCTACTACCTTGATAGCTGATAGAGTTGACAGGATTATGGTGTATGGTCCTTCCCAAGTTGGTCCTAGGGAAGGAGATCATGAGGGGAGACACTTTCCCAGTACTAAATCTCCAGGGTGGAATATGGGATTTCCCTTCTCTTTAGGCTGAGCTTCTGTTAGCTGTTGAAGAGTCTGTTGAAATTTAGCCAGAGAGGTGACATTGTTCAGTAAGGCATCTGTTTGTCTATCAAAGAGAAAATTATTAGTGGGAAAAGGGCATCCATAAAGCATTTCAAATGGACTAATCCTAGAAATTGAGATATCTTTTTTACTTTGATATGAACTAAAGGTAGTAAGTGAGGCCACTGTAGGTGGGTTTCCTGAGCCATCTTGGGAAGATGTCTCTTTAGGGTCTCATTCATTTTCTTTACCTTTCCCAATGGTTGTGGCTTCCATGCACAGTGAAGGTGATAGAGAATGCCCAGTTCCTGAGAGACACTGTGTGTGAATGTTGCTTTAAAAGAAGACCCATTATTATTACCCTGTAAGCTCTTAGGAAGTCCCAATCTGGGGATGTTTCTGTGACCAAAATCTCTACCACCTCTTGTGCCTTTTCTATCCTACAAGGAAAGGCCTCAACCCAGTTTGTGAAAGTATCTACCCAGACCAATAAGTATTCAAGTCCCTTACTCGTTAGTATATGAGTAAAATTGAGTTGCCAGTCTTTTCCAGGGTATTTACCATGTCTATATACATGGAGCGGCTATGATCTCAATACAAGGATTGTTCTTTTGGCAGAGCTCTTGCGTCTTAACTATCTGTTGTATTGTCTGAGAAAGTGCCTTCCCTATGAATAACTTTGAGAACATCTGCTGGGTCTTTTCTCTCCCTAAGTGAAAGGTTTGATGTAAGGACTTAATGACTTTCCATTGACTAGCACCAGGAAGGAACAATTTATCATCAGTTGATTTTAACCATCCTGAATTAAGGAAACTGACACCTATAGGCAAGAGCCCATTCAATTTCTGGCTGAGAATATTTGGGTCAATTTTTTTTTAGAAATAAAAGAATCTTTATTGTTTTAGAAGCAATTTTGAGCAGACAAGCAAATATCTAAAGATAGTTACCATACATCAACTAGTGGCTTAAACATTTGAGGGGAAAACATGGAAAGAATTTACATGGACCAGTTTCTTTATGGAAATAGTAAAACATGAAAAGCACCCAAAACTAAGTATTGTATTACCATCAAGGCACATTGAATCAGTGTAAGTACTGACTTTTTGTCCTTTACTAAGTGGTAAAGCCCTGGTCAGAGGTATGAGTTCTTCAGCTGAGCATTAGTCCAAGGGGCAAGTGAGGAACTTTCAAATGTCTGGTGTAGAGTCACTATTGCATACCCTGCCTTTCTTGTCCCATTTTCCAGGAAGGAATTGCCGTCACAGAAGAGGGTCAAATCAGGGTAAGGAAGGGGTGCGTCTAATAAGCCTTCTCTGGCTATGTGTGTATGGAGAATTACTTCTTTGCAGTCATGTCTTTCAGCCTCAATTTTCTCCTTTCCTGGTAGAAAGGTGGAAGAATTTAAGGAAGAACATGTCTGTTTTGAATGCCTAGTGTTTCTAGAAGTAGAGCCTGATATTTAAGAAGTGGGTTGTTTGATAGCCATAAGCTCCATTTGGAAGAAAGAAATCCTGCCACATTTGAGGTGTATACACAAGGAGATATTTGCCTGAAGTCAACTTGGATGCCTCTGATATTAAGAGAGCTATAGCAGCCTCAGCTCTAAAGCAGGCAGGCCATCCTTTTACTATGATGTCTAATTCATGACTCAGACACCCTATAGCCTGTTGAGTAGGTCCTTGATCCTGCGTAAGCACTCTTAAAGCCATGCCCTGCCTTTCATCAGCATACAGATTGAAAAAGTATCCTGTTGGTAGTCTCAGTGCCGGGACATTTAGAAGCATTTGTTTAAACTTCTGGAAGGCATTTTGGGAATCAGGTTCCCAGGGTACAATAAGGTATCTGTCTATTGGGCTTCCTTTATAAGCTGATAGAAGAGTCATGTGTTCTCACCATACCCTGCTATCCAAAGGCAATAAAAACCTGCAATTCCTATGAATGCCCTTAGTGTTTTAGGTCTTGTGTTTTGGGAAGGAAAGTATTAATTTAATTCTGTCTTCCCCCAGTCTTCACGTTCCCTTAGATATGATAAGGCCCAAGTATTTTACCTCAAGATTGCAACATTGTGCCTTAGACCTAGAGACTTTATAACTATCTGCTAGAAAATTCAGCAGAGCATGGATGCCTTATCTAGAGAGCTCTTCTGAGGGACACATAACAGTATATCATATACATATTGCAAGACTGCGACTTGGGAAAATTCAAAACACGCCAAGTCCTGGAAAAGCACTCCCAAAAAGAGGACCATCTCTGAATCCTTGAGGAACCACGGTCCATGTCAGTTGAGAGGCCTGGTCTTGAGGATTTTCAAAGACAAAAAGAAACTGGGAATCTGTATGTAAAGGAATACAAAAGAAGGCATCTTTTAAATCTAACACTGAAAACTAACCAGCATCTTCCAGGATCTGAGAAAGGAGAGTGTACAGGTTAGGTACCACCTGCTGAGTTGGCACAGCTGCCTCATTTACCAATCTAAGGTCCTGTACCAATCTCCACTCCCTGTTTGGTTTTTTGAACTCCCAAGATGAGAGCATTGCAAGGGCTATTACAGACGTTAAATAAACCTTGTGCCCTTAAATTGTCAATTATAGGCAATAGTCTTCTTTTAACTTCAGGCCTTAGAGGGTAGATGTATTTGCACTGGAGCAGCTCTTATTGCTATACCTCTTCTACCTTCAGTTATCCATACTTCAGGATTTATTTCTGTCTTTACAAGTGGGAGACAGTGTACCTGATCTGGGTGCATGTGTATTACAGTATTCAAACAGGCTATATCTCCCCATAAGACCAATGGACTTTCAGGCATAATTAAAAAGGAACGTGTAAAAAGCAAGCCTTCCCAGTTACAGCCTACAAGTTGTGAGAAATACTGAGTTATCTCCTCTTCAATGACTCATTTCACTGAAATATAACAGATGGAAGGAAGGCCAGGGTTGAAAAGAAGGACTGAGAGACATGCACCAGTGTCCCGCAATAGGCTGGATTCTTTTTCCCTCCATTGTCATGATTACCTGGTGCTCCTTGGTGGAGATGACAGTCTGGCCAGAGGGAGAAGGCAGAGAGTTCCCTGGGGACCTTCAGTCTTGCTGGACCAGCTGGTCAGATGGGTCTGATGCCTGGGGCCTTCAACTCAGAGGGCAGTCTGACTTCCAGTGGTCACCTTTGCAAATGACATGGTTTGGGTGTTGAGGGGGCTTCTTGTCATGACAGTTCTTATCACAGTCTCTCCTAAGGTGGCCAGGCTTTGCATAGTGATAGAACATGAGTTTAGTTGTCACATTCTTCTTGGAGACTGACAGACTTAAGGTCTATTCATTTTAAGGTTGCAACCAAAGCAGCTGCTTTCTCTTGGTCTCTTTGTTTTCTTCCCGTTTTCTGGTCTCCATTATAAAATACTGAGCAGGCAATTCTCACTAAAGTATCAAGTGAGCTATCTGGACCAAAAACTACATTTTGTAGCTTTTGCTTAATATCTGAGGCTGATTGGGTGATAAACTTGTCTTTAAGAATAACCTGTCCAGGCCAGGGATTTAGCTCAATGGTTTTGCCACCTGCTGCACAAGCGCAAGGACTTGAGTTTGATCCCCCATACCAAAAACAAAACAAAACAAAACAACAACAACAAAAAAGAATAACCTGTCCTATCAAATCTGGAACTAGGGATGTATATTTTGCCAATGATTCTTTTTTCTAAAATTAATTCTATTGGTACGTTTTAGGTTTACAATATAATGACATTCATCATTGGAAATTTGCACCTTTACATAATCTGTCTTTGTTCTTATTTTTTCCCCATTCCCCTGCCCTCCCTTCAACCCCTCCATCCCTCCCTATTTACAAAGACTTGGTTTCCAATTTTTCACGTTTCCCCTGCCCTCCCTTCAACCCCTCCATCCCTCCCTATTTACAAAGACTTGGTTTCCAATTTTTCATTTTTTCACATTAATTCCATTCCCTGCTTTCCCTTCCCCTACCCTTCCCACTTCCCCTTCCTCTTTGCCCATTTTCTTCCTATTTCATAATATCTATTATACCTTTTAGTCCTTGTTTACACTTTAAGTTTCTCACACTAGAGAAACTATTCAGTATTTACATGTGTGTCCTATTTATTTCACTTAAGAGTATTGCCTCAATGTGCATCCATTTAGCTATAAATATCTCTAATTTCTCTTTTTTTATGGCTGAGTAGTACTCCATTTTATAAAAAAATATTTCTTTACCCAGTCTCCAGTTAATGGGCATTTGGGCTACTTTCAAGTTTTAGCTATTACAAATTGTCCCGCTATGAACATGGGTGCACCTATATCACTGTGGTATAATTCTTTTAATTCTTTTGGGTAGATATCCAACAGGGGCATAGCTGGGTCAAATGGGACTTCCAGTCCTAGTTCTTTGAGGTATTTCCATACTGATTTCCACAGTGGTAGCACCAGTCTACACTCCCACCAGGAGTGGAGCAGTGTTCCTCTTTCCCCAGAGCTGCACCAGCATTTATTGTTGGTTGATTTCATGATAGTAGCCATTCTTTCTGGAGTGAGGTGGAATCTCAGCATTGTTTTCATTAGCATCTCTCAAATAACCAGTGATGTTGAACATTTTTTCATGTTTAGTTGCTATTTCTACTTCTTTGTCTGAGAAATGTCTGTTCATTTCAGATGCCCATTTTTGGATTAGGTCTTTAAATTTGGGAGGTCTG